TAGAATAGAAATTTTTTGGTCGGCCAAAAGGAAACAAATGGTCAGTCGAACTAAAACGTGACTTGATTGGGCGGAACCGTGACGTGATTTAATAATTTGGGGAGCGGTTCCCTCGGCACAGGAAAGAGTGAACGGCGCCCGGAATGCTTTTGCATTATGCAAAAAGTCAGTAATTTAAAGCGAAAAAATAATAAAGGGAAAAATCCTTTCTGAACTCGCGCCCGAATCACGTACGAACCACTCTCTGAAACTTTCTAAGTCGCCAAAGTGAGATTTGACCACGAAAGAATCACAAATTATTCATCTCTTTTCATCTTAACACCATTTATCAAACGCAAATAATCCGTATTGATACAGTATTTCTTGATAAAATGTGTTTCCGTTTAAATTCGGATTTCAAAAATACATTGGCCGCGCGAAATCCATTCTATCACTGTCACCGAACTAGATTTCAGGTCGAAATTTACGCAGACAAGGAAACGATATCCCCGAAATAAACGCATTTCGAAATTTGTTGCCCTGCCGATATTTCTTCGGGATTCAGTGGCGTTCGCACACTCTGAATTATTTTGCATTTTCGCACCGTCGCCGACGCCGACGTGAGCTTCTTGCATCGCGACCGAATTTGCATACATTTGCAAATGACCATTTGGGAAACGTGCTAAAACCGAACCAGAGACGACTCCATGTTGATGAACTCGTTCGCGGAAATCCGTTTACCGGAACGGAATAATATGTCGAATCCTTCTTCGGACCGATTTCATGTTTCGACATGTCCTCCGGCGGTCGATGTCATGAAATATTAACTCGAAAATTTAGGCAGGTGGTAGCACTCCAGCGGCACCGCTCAAAATCCATAATTAAACAATGGCCTCCGAGCCACAAAGAGCCATTGTTGCCCACCTGGACGGATTCAATATTAAACGCGTTGAATGCTTGAATACTGAATGTGAAATTTATCCGTCGACATCGATACCGGTTCAGTTAATAGTCTTTGAGTGGACATTGTTTATTATTTATCTATACAGAACCATTGTATTAAAATTGACCTAATATCTTGTACAATTAATCATAATATTGTACGAAAGCTTTTTTTAGAAGTTAATACCTAAAAAGAAATTATTGGGGAAAATCAACATCGAAGTGATTTTAGCTCAATGTACATCATTTAGCCACATGTCTTTATAAAAAGTGTTGACGAAGAGCTTGTAGAAAATATGAATGATATGGTATTAAGTTTGAATACTTCAGAAAACCCAATTTACATCAACAAAACGTCACAAAGGAAAGAATTACCTGCATTTTTCGAATTTTAAATATAACCCAAACGAACAATGCCCCAGCTTAATTTGATTGCTCATGAGGTTGTGTTGAGAAAATTCGTAAAGTATAACAATAACTCCTGTTCGATTAAGAAAGGCATCTTAATGCAAGAATGTCTCAAACCGAACCGATCATATCGTTGCCCAACCAGTGTCACAATGCAAACAGATATATCATAATTCAATCCATAAATTAAAAAATTTGTACCCAGCTTCATTCTCAGCCTATAAATGTCCCAATCAAACCAAGCCATTAACAATTAATGATTGTTGCAACTCAACCCTATCATTAACTTAAGATTATCTCATTCGAACATCATTAACGACGGATGAATGCCTTAACGCGATCTTATTCTTTTAAGTAATATAAGATAAGAATGTCCAAATCCAAATATTATCATCAAATAAATCCTAATGATATAAAGACGTACAGGCCAATATCATTACTTCCTATCATATCTAAAGTATTCGTAAAGCTTCAATTAAAGAGATTAAGGCCACTTATAGTTGGAGGACAACTCATTCCGAACAACCGATTTGAATTTCGCAATCATCATTCCATCATTTAACAGGATTACAGATCAAATCGAGGGGACCCTAGAGAACAAGCAATATTCGGTGATTTTCCTTTATGTAGCTCAGGAGAATTAAAGGATTATCAGCTCAATATGTCCAAATCTTGGAATCCTACGTAACTGGACGATTTTTTACAATGCAGCAGAGAGCAAAATATGTGCATATGTGCCACATGGTAGCGTTTTGGGAGCAACCTCATACCTGCTTTATACCTGTGGCTTGCCCAAACATGATGACGTAACCATAATATGATTTGCCGATGAGATGGAATTAACAGTACAAGAAACAACTAGCTTAAGCTACAGGAACTTGGTGATATAACCCAAAAGTGGACACAAAAATAGATTCAACCGATTGCCGATGAGATGGCACGCTACTGGATTGACAGAACCAGAAGCAACTAGCTTAAGCTACAGGATATTGGTGATATATACCAAAAGTGGACACAAAAATGGAGAATCAACCTCAATGATTTGAAATCTCATCTTATCTCTTCCCATGCAAATCATGTATGGTGGACAAAAGACCTTCAGTGCACATAAATAGTGTTGTAGTGCCATATGCTAACGCCGCAAAATATCTAGGCATGATTTAGGACACAAGGCACAAATATAAATCCCGCGGCGCACCATATTAGTGTAAAAAAAATAAAATAACTCTAGTATGTATACCTAGTAGAAAAAGGAGAGCACTCTCGCAAATCCTCGACAACATCATCGACGGTTCCTAGGCATAGCTCTTATGACCTCTAGTTAGTCTAACTCTTTCCCTGTTACTTTAACATCAAACGATACCACATGTTCCCTCAGGGTACTCTCTTCTCCTTTTTCAAATTTTGTAAGCAGTTAAATGGGTAGTAAAAATGTTCATGTTCTTATAAACTACTTTTCTCGAAAAGATAACAACTATATTGCGAAGAAACAAGGCTGGCGTTAGGGAGACTGTAAATTATTCTAGAATGGCAGCAGAATATAATCGAATTATGGGTATCGTCGGCAAATTTGCCCATCTACGTGGGAGCTATGCTATTGGTAGATAATAGGGCCGTCAAGTATTTTTTTTATTGACTTATTCGAAAGTTTTTTAAAATTGATTGACCCTATATTTTTTAATTTTTGATTCTGAGGCTTAGTTTTTCACGAAATGGTGGCATCGTATACATTATTATCTTATGAGTCCACTCAAAACGAGAACAATAGATCAATTGTCATTCAAGGTCAATTTGAGGAGACAACTCATAAACGATTTTACTTCTCTGAAGGCCCGAAATAAACCAGTGGTATTCTTATCAAAAGAACGTGCTATTTCAGATAAAGTTATCTGAGGTTGGTAAACATATTCCTAATCAACAAGGAACGTAAAAAACCCTTAACTCTTAATAAAACCAATCCCAACCCTTCCATTATGATGCGGTCAAGAACACATCTTGACCACGGCGATGACGTAGAAATATTATGACAAGGAGGTATCTTTTCTTGGTTCTTCTTTTGTTTTCTTCAGCTACACAGACAGAATTTTTACTGTGGGCTTCAATAAAATCGTAGCCGTCGGGTTTAGTCTACATAAATAATAACATACATACTCCACAAAATAAATGAGAAAAAACTTAGAAGCGCGAGAGATATTGGAAGTCATTGAAATATATTAGGGATTACTGACATTACAAGTTGTTGAGAGCAGTATGCAATGATTGACATTTTTATTGAGATGTTATCAGAGCCATTGAAGGTTATTCGGAATAATAGGAAACCATAGGGGACCAATGAGAACCTTTAGGACTGATAGTCCGAGTCAATTAGAGCAGTCGAACATGCTCCGAGATTGCATGAAGTTTAATAAACCTTCTCGGAATTTCGACCCATTAAGTCTGCATAGCAAGACAGAGATAATTTTAGCATTCGCACTACATTTGTACTGTCACTCCTACAGATCGAGCAATTCTTTAAATTCAACCATACTCGCAGGCTCTATAATAAATTTGCAAAACTGCTTTACACTTAGCTAATTAATCGCGATTGTTCCTGGAGCTATTCGGCGTCACTCAATAGTGTTAGGATTTACTAAAAGCTATTTAGAGCTTTTAAAAGATTATATTGGAAACAATTGTCTGGTATTGTAAATAATTCTGAAGCAGTGAGAGCAAGCTTAATTTCAAAAGGTTCACATACTATGAATTTTAGAAACTATAAACAATATGTAAAGACCCGAGGAGATATAAATTGCGTGCCATAATAAAATAAATACACCATTTTAATTATCACCTGTTCCCGTATGCTTTTCTATTTTTCAACCATATCATTGAATTAATTCAAGAACTGAATTGATTAAATTTGATTTTTAATGATTTAATTTAGATTTGTTCCGTATCAAAATAGATAAATTTATAACTTTTTGTAATATGAATTGTGCTCGCAATGCAACGTAGAATTTCCTCGTTTCGATTAATGGAAATACTGCGCAATTAAATCCACAGTTGCTGAGTTGTGCGCTTTTTCAACGAACTCCTAGTACAATAGGCTTCGCCGCGTATTGACTAGTTGGTTGGGTGTCGCCCCCCTTCGCGATATTCACCCGCTTCAATAAAATCAAACGGGTCTTCGCGTTGCGATGTTGAACGTCGACGACCCCAAAAGTAAACGACCGTAAATCTGATTGGACGTTACAACGACACCGAGTATAACGAATTCGTTTTATGTGCACACGATAACAAATTAGGTAATTTTGTCTCTCGACGACAGCGAAACACCCCTCCACTCTCCTCGTTACACAAAAGGTTTCTTACTCGGAAAATTTACAAGAGGTATTAAACGAAAGGGTAAAGGATTTGTTGATCGTGTTTCGCGTCTTTTGACTCTAATAACGGTAATTAATGATAGTGCATTTTGCATTTTAATGGAAATGACATTTCTTGAAATTCAATTTTATTCCTTGAATGTTGAGGTAGTGCTTTTGACATCCCAACGATTGATTTTCATAGTATAATACAATAATAATTAACTCCTTATCGAGGTGTATACTCAAAGTGTAGTAATTTGGTAACAAACAACTTTGAAATTGCTTTCAACCCAATATACTAATTATGTGTTTCTGTGTTGTACACAGGTGAGGATAATGGTACCAGGAGCGGAGAGAAAGCTTCGAGAACACCGGTTGACTGCCGAATACATAGACAGGCGCCTTGGCGTCGCAACGCACCAACAAAGGCAGCAATACGATGCCATCTCGACGTCGGATCGCACACCAAAATACGTACCAGAATGCGGACCTCTATTGAACAAAACTCCACCGGATGTCTGTACGACCAACAAGTGCTTAGAATTCACAAGCGCAGACATTAATAGCGGTGTCATCGAGGCAAACTTCGTGGAGACGAACTCGCTGGCCGGACAAACCATTCCTATCACGGTGAAGAACCATCATGGAGCAGTCGCTCCGGGCATATCCTACACCAATTTCCCTCCTAACAAGTACGGAACGATGCCAACCGCCGGCACGACGCTCCATCAAGGTTTTTTGGGTGTGTCTGAACTCGGTTCCTCCAGCTCGAACAGTTCCTCAACGTATTGTGCGCGAAGTAAGACCCTTCAGCATCAAAACAGGCCGAAGAAAAAGTGCGTAAAAATTGAAACTTTTCAAACACCCGAACAGTTCGCCGATTTCGGGAAGAGATCGAATACGTTCGGGTATTCAGGCAGTGCCGTATGACCGGATTAAGTGGGATAAACTACGCATATTCTAAAGGATACTTAAGTAAACAAAGAAAATAAAACGAGACAACGTTTATATACATGGTTATTTGTACTACGTGAGATTCAGGGTTCTTAGTGGTACAGTCGAAATTATCGGAAATTAATCAAAACAAAACTAAGAATCAAACTTGATAATAAAACAGGAGTCGTGTTTAATGTTCTTCTTACTTGTTTTCGGCTTCCTTATATCTGGCAAGAATTTCTCGAGGTACTCCTCGGATTTCTGCAATAAATTTCAATTAAAATCTTAACAAAGTTAGATTAAGGAGTGTTAGTTATAGCTGTACCTGTTGCTAAACGATAACTTCCTCAGCGACAAAGCGAGGAAATGAAAAAGTTATATGGAATACTTATTTTAATTTAATTTTTTTCTTTTTACACAAAACGTTATATGGGTAATTAATTTGATAAAAACCCTTATAAGAGGGAGCACATGCCGAGCAAATCACTGTTACACCGAATTCGGGATAATATCCCGGCTATAAATCATAGCGAATATAATGCGAATCGCTCGGTTCGTCCATTAGATGATTAAGCGAACAGCCGAGATCTCAACATGGCCGAGGAGGGCTCCGTAACAGAGTTGTATGGTTAATGATCCGACGTAAAAACGCTTTTTTCCTTCTTTTTCAACCACCGGACATTCCTCTAAGAGAGATCGATATTAAACGCGATTCTTTCTTCGCGATTGTTTGTGTGTATCCGGGCGAAGTAATCGGGTAATAAGGGGTAATCAATCCTGATTTTGGCACTTGTGGGTAATGGTAATCGATAACTTTTCCCGGAAATACCAATTGATTTTATACATTAAAAACCTTTCATGACTTCTTCCTTTTAATTTACAAAGTTAACCCCAAATTATTTGTAGTACCGAATTAGATAAGGTTTTAAAGTGTACTTTTTTGATTGTAACAAGAGAACCTCTTAAGCAATTCCGATGAATAATATCTCATTCGAAAGAGATTCTAGGCCAATAAGAGAATGGATATTATTACCTCGATTTACATTTTTTTTTTTAAAGAATTACAAAATTCCTGATCTCATTTCTTTCACGTTAACATTATACAGATTATAAGGAAAAATTAATTTAGATTGAATCGATTAAATAGGGGACGATTCAACGGATTTTAATGTTTTATATCTCAATCGTGAATTTCGATCTCGCTGAATACAGATGTCGAAATGTCCGATTAGAAATCTGGAAGAATTTTAATTAACACAAGAAAAAACAAGTTAATCAAATACATTAATTATCTCTTTTAATAATTGAATAATCGAAGAGCTTATTGCTTGAACATGTTAAGATAGAGTAAGATACATTTACTCTAACTTCAGTAATTTAATGCTTCAAAGAACTTGTGTTTTTAACAAACAAAAGTGTTCTAAGAACATTAAGTAAAATCATTTTACAAGTTTCACGTCTTCGATTTTATCATTACTAACTCTCATGTAGTAGATTAGTATCTAACTTTTTTTGGGAAATGTCTTTTTTCTGTTGAGATCGTTTATAAACGTCGTTACTAGACATTTTCTTGTTAACATCATCACCCATTAACTGCGTGATTTATACAGGGTGAGTCTGAAAGAATGGGAAATCCGAATACCGGAGACACTAGACACCAAAATATGACGATTTAACCTAACATGTCTTATACAAATGTCGGTGGTTTTTAATACACAGGGTGTTGAAAGTTAAATTTTTATTTCGAATTT